CTTTCACATTGCTATTCCTCTCTCTCTCTCTCTCTCTCTCTCTCTCTCTCTCTCTTTCTCTCTCTCTCCCTCTCTCCTTCTTCCTCCCTCCTCCCTTCCTTTGACTCTAAAAATCAATGGAGTGCTCACTTTGGCAGCACATATACTAACATTGGGACGATACAGAGAAGATTAGCATGGCCCCTGTGCAAGGATGACACACAAATTTGTGAAGCATTCCATATTAAAAATACAACAAAACACAATGGAAAAAATATCCTTGGGTGAGGATGAGCAACAACAAAAAATTGTCACTGGTAATCTCAGTTTCAGGATAGGGGCTTGAGCTGAAGATTTCAATCTGAGGAATCAGTTCAGAGGCCTGGTCTAGGCATTCCCTCTGGGGGCCTATATGTGTGTTCAATCTGTGTGGCTCGCCTATGGCTATCACTGCAGGGAAGTCAGTCTGGAGTCTTAGCCTGAGGGACCCAGTCTCGGGACCTCCATTTGGTAGATGGTTACAGGGAGTTCCAGCTAGGAATTTTACCCTGGAGAACTCAGCTTGGACCTCCAATGGCTTTCTGCCTACTAGGCACAGTTGAATGGCTCACTCTGGCTGTGACATACTGGCGCTTTTTCATCCAGGGCTTCATTGTGAGGGTGTGGGGCAGGGCCATGAGTTTCATTCAGGGAGGCTCAGAGTATGCCCTGAGTATGGAGATCTGAAATTTCATTCTGCAAATGGAGTCTCTTGTACACAGCCTGGGGAGCTTCTTTAAGGGGCTCAGGCAAAGTGTTTGCTCTGGGGGTATCATTTTGGGAGTTTAGTCCAGAAATTGGACCCTGTATTTCATGGTTGCTTCTAGAAGGCTCAGGCACTGATATCTTTATATATATATAATTTATTTGCACCAAATGTTGAGGACCTGCCCAGAAGCAAAATCCTGACGGATTGAGAGAATGCTCCAGAAAATGGCAGTTTGCACTTATTATTTTAAAAAATATTTTTTTATTGATTTTGGAGAGGAAGGGAGAGGGAGAGAAAGAGATAGAAACATCAATAATAAGAGAGAATCATTGACCAGCTACCTCTTGCACACCCCTACTGGGGATCGAGACCACAACCCGGGCATGTGCCCTTGACCGGAATCAAACCCGGAACCTTTCAGTCCGCAGGTCAACGCTCTATCCACTGAGCCAAACCAACTAGGGCTACTAATATCTTTTTTTAAAAATATGTTTTTATTGATTTCAGAGAGGAAGGGAGAGGGAGAGAGATAGAAACATTGATGAGAAAGAAACATCAATGCTGCCTCCTGCATGCCCCTAACTGAGGATCAAGCCTGCAACCCAGGCATGTACCCTGACCAGGAATCAAATCATGACGCTCAACCACTGAGCCATGCTGGCCAGGCGGGAATCTATTTTTAATTTGTCATTTTGATTTTCTTGCTGCTGCTGGTATTACATAATGTAACTCATACAAGTTTGTGACCCGTGAAAAGGAAGCACAGATTAACTACATACTTTAAAAAATGTGCCCTAGCCGGTTTGGTTCAGTGGATAGAGCATCGACCCAAGGACTGAAGAGTCCTGGGTTCGATTCCAGTCAAGGGCACGTACCTCAGTTGCAGGCTAAATCTCCAGTCCCTTTTCTAGCAAAGCACCCCTAAATCCCCTTTAGAGTTTCCTAAGCGACGACTGTGGTAAAGGTTCTTTTGCCATGTTAATGAGGTCACTTTGGGAAATTCCCTCCATATGGAAAGGGGTTGGTTGCCTGTGGAGCCAACCACGTGATTAAAGGGTTGGGACTTTCAGTCTTATCCCACAAGCTCCTGGCAGGGGAGAGAGCCTGGAGATTGAATTCAAGCACGAGTGGTCAATGATATAATTGCTATTGGAATCTGAAATGTGTGTTGTGGGGGGGCGGTGAGTTTTGTAGGACTGAGCCCTTAACCCAGTGGTGGGCAAACTGCAGCCTGCAGGCTGGATCCAGCCCGTTTGAAATGAATAAAACTATTGAAAAAAAAGACCGTACCCTTTTATGTAATGATGTTTACTTTGAATTTATATTAGTTCACACAAACACTCCATCCATGCTTTTGTTCCGGCCCTCCGGTCCAGTTTAAGAATGCATTGTGGCCCTCGAGTCAAAAAGTTTGCCCACCCCTGCCTTAACCTATGGGATCTGACACTACCTACAGATAGTGTCAGAATTGAGCTGAATTGTAGAACATCCAGCTGATGTTGGAGAATTGCTTGGTGGTGAGGGAAATCCACCCCCCCGCCCATGCACACACTGGGACTGGTGACCAGAATCTAATCTACTCCCTCCATATACGTTTGAGGTCTCAGACCCTAGGAACTCAGGCAGAAGTGCCTAATCTGTTTCTTCATTTGGGCCTCTTTGAACTCTATCTAAATTGCTGAGTTTAAATTGCTCCATCTGCTGGAATGAGTGTCTGGAGCTTGGTAGGAGTTTATGCCTCCTGAGTTTATCAGTCTTGGAATGTTCACTCTTCTTATCACATACCATGCTGTTCCCTTCCTCCGAGTCTTTGTATATGCATTGTTGCCACGGCATGAAAGGTTCTTTCTTTCTTTTAGTGACATTCCCACCCTCATAATGCACAAACTGCCCATCGCCTGGCAAAATGCCACTCAAATTTTGCATCACTCCTGGTATCATCTCTGAGAGGGTTGCCACAACCCCCACGACTGGGTCAGGGACCCCCCCCTGCTGGTCTCTCTTGGCCTCCTTTCTCCTACGGCTTTGCCCAGAGCTGGAGAACGAATCAAGCTTTAGCCTCAGCGCCCCACACTGACACAGGCCAGTTCCAAGTCCCTCGTTGTTTTATTGAGCATCGTCAATTTGAAACGTATCTAAGATTTGTCACGGCACAAGAATAGTTAAAATACCCCGAAATTTCACAGCTCACATGTAAAGGAAACTAGAGGTTTCCCCAAATTTGACAACAATCTTAACATTCACATTACTTATAATGAGTTGCAAGGCTGAAACTTTTCTAAACTACCAATAATAAAAGATTTGATCACCTGAATGGAATTAAGTTCTTTTTATGCTCTCTAGGAAATGTTATTATTAAAATAATTGTCCTATTTATAAGAGAATATAAAAATGGAAACATTAGTAGAGGGGTGAATCAGGCAATTGATAAGAATATTTTGTTTTTCTGGATTTGAGGATGTTTATTTAATAAATGCAGTTTAAAAATTGTAATTTGTATCATTTGTGATTTCTTTGTAAATCTAAAGCAATGTTTACTATCATACCTAAACTGGTACTATTTTTCTTTTTTTAAAAATATGCTTTTATTGATTTTAGAGAGAGGAAAAGAGAGGGAGAGAGAAACATCTATTTTATAATAACATTTCCTAGAGAGTCTAAAAAGAATTCAATTCTATTCAGGTGATCAAAACATCTGTTGGCTACCTCCTGCACGCCCCCTACTGGGGATTGAGCCCACAACCTGGGCATATGCCCTGACCAGGAGGGACCTCTTGGTGCATCGGGTGACAACCAACTGAGCCACACTGGCCAGGGCTGTATTATTTTTCCTTAACAGAGCTTGCAAAATTCTATCTGCTTCAACCTTCAAAACCTAGATTCACCCTGAGCACTAATCATACTCTATGGTCCTTGAACAAATCTTGCACGCCAGACTTTGAGCTCCCTGAGCCTCTGACCAAACCTTATGACCCAATAGTATTCAGCACAGGGCCAGGCACAGAATCATCAGACTGTTAACAAGGATCTAGTCCTAAGTTAACAATCTTTGTTGTGAGAGAAAGTCATCTACAATACTCTTCCAAGAACAGCTTTATTGAAATATTTGTTTCACTTATTTTAAAGTGTACAATTCAATGGTTTTTAGTATATTCACAGTGTTGTGTAACTGTATTAGTTTGCTAGGGCTGTCATGACAAAATACCATAGACTGATGTCTTTAACAACAAAAAATTATTTTCTCTAAAGTCTAGAAGCTAGAGGTTCAAGATCAAGGTGTTAGCAGGTGTGGTTTCTTTTGAGGCCTTACTCCGTGGCTCACAGATGTCCACTTTCTCTCTGTGTTCAATGGTCATCTCTCCATGCATGCTTGTGTCTAGTGTCTCTCTGTGTGTCCTAATCTCTTCTTACAATCACACCAATCATATTAGATTAGAATGTACTAATATGGCTTCATTTTACCTTAATTATCACTTTCAAGGCTGTATCTCCAAATATAGTTCTATATTTTGAGGTATTGGGAGTTAGGTCTTCAACATATTAATTGGGTGTGTGTTACAAATTAGCCCCTATAGCATGTAATTGTAGAACATTTTCATCACCCCCAAAAGAAAGCTTGTATCTATTAGGAGTCAGACCTCATTTCTCCCTTCCCTAAGCCCTGGATAATTGTTAATCTATTTTTTATCTCTATAGATTTGCCTGTTCTGTACATTTCTTATAAATGGCATCATACAAAAAAAGTACAAAAAAATGGTAGCATGCAAAGTGGTCTCTTTTGACTAGTCAGAAGTAATACCACCTTTTTCATTCCTGATTTCCATAAAATTGAGTCCTCTCTCTCTCTCTCTCTCTCTCTCTCTCATTAACCACTCTAGCTAAAAGTTTGTCAATGTTGTTGATCTTTTCAAATAACCAACTTTTGGTTTCACTGATTTTCTCCATTGTTTTTCTATTCCACTTATTTCCTCTCCAATTTTTATCTCCTTTCTGCTTGCTTTGCGATTATTTTGTTCTTTTTCTAGTTTCCTAGAGTGGAAGGTTAGGTTATGTTTGAGATATTTATTTATTTATTTGAAACAAACATCGATTTCCTGTTTCACTTGTTTATGCATTCATTGGTTGATACTTGTATGTGCCCTGACCAGGATGGAACCCGCAACCTTGGCATATTGGGGCCACGCTCTAACCAACTGAGCTACCCAGCCAGGGATCCCCACATCTTTTCTGCGCGGTATACATGGCCCTGGCCCCACGCCATCCTCCTCCGCTTCTGGCTTGCTTTGGTTTAATTACTGCAGGCCAGTATCTGTGATGGTGTCATCCGTTGTTCTGACAGACTTCTCTATTGCTCTAGTCTTGTGCCAGGTCAGCGGAAAGCTGAATCTGCGTTCTCAGGCTCGGCTATCGACTCGTTCTGCCCGGGCCGTCCTGCGCCCCGATTGGTCCGCACTGCGACCCGATTGGTCCGCCTACGCATCATGTGCTCAGCAGCCCGATGATGGCGGGCGCTGGGGAAGATTTGGGAGCCCTCTTCAGGGCTGGCGTCCGCGCGGCGCTAGAGGCCTGGCCGGCCTTGCAGGTGAGTGGGGTCCGGGACGGGAATGGGTAGGGCCTGGAACGGAC